TTCTTTTCAATCCATGAGTTATTGATTTCTGTATGCACTAAAAATACAGGTAACTTTGGTGACGATAAATTGTACCGAATATATTGAAAGTTGATTGTGAACTGAAACAATTTTGATAGCTTTCTACAGAACAAAATTTTGCATAATTTTTAAAATCTGCACAGCGACACAAAATTATTTTGGGGGAAGTAAAACTATTATTTATAATTGTAGTAATAAAGAGAGTGAGATGGTCCGTATCAACTTTTCATTCGTACCAAATATTTCTTCTGTACCTACTATGATGTAGATAACCCTATAGCACTAGTAATAATTATAATTATATGATGAAGTATATGACAAGTCTCCACCAAGCAAGTTGTCTGTGAGCAAACAGATCAGCATCAAGAGCAGAACATCATCAGCTAGAAGGATTCTGCTGACATTGACCTTATCTTGGACCACGTCCACTAGCAATGGAGCCTGCTGCTACATTATCGTTGTTGATCAACGCTTATTGAAATGTTGATGCTTGAACGAGCATTACTGTCATATAACAATGTCTTTCATAGTAAAAGGTATGAAACATAAGTTGTTGTTTGTTCTGTTGCCATTGATGAATTTAGATTTAAAGTGGACAATTGTGGAACCGTTTCAGCAACTGATAATATACATTGAAAGTGAAAGAACACATCAACTGATGTGTAAACTGAATGACTGATATGATCACTTTTTTTACATTGTATGAGTATATAATTGTCAGAACAATCAAATATTTAGTGATAACGAATGACAGTATAATAAGCACTCCAAAATTCCTTCAAATATGATTGGCAATGTACAATTAGTAGTATTGCAATAAGGTTTACGTCTTCGTTGTATTTCAACTGAAGGAAACTTATCCTGTGAGAAATAGCAATAAGATTAGTCGGAAACTTATTTCTTTTACGTTTTGTTCTAATGGATTTTGTGGACTTTCAGGGATGTCCCCACGTATATTTAAGGGACAACTAACTGAATAATTTAGGCGATTTCATTTCATTAGTTTCAGCATTGGCTAAATTCAAAAATAGACAAACCAAATATTTATGTGAATTTTTATGTAATGTGTGATATTCATTTGACCAAACATTTGTATTTGTGTAATATTTATGCAAATATTTATGTATTTATGCATTTACGTGAAATTGACAACAACATGCTTCTTGTTTTTGACAAAAAACAAAGTGATTCTAAAGAGTGTTGGTCGGTTTTCAAAATAAAGTTTATGTTTCAACTGAATTCGACTACGATTCCTAATTGTTTCTATTTCTAAAACTTCGTTTTACACGACACGAAGGAAATCGAGTAAGGAACAATTAGAAGCAATAAAGTGCAAAAGTAATTGTGTTTCCGTTTACATGGGTAATTTTAAGTGGTAGAAGATTCAACGACAGAAATGAACTGAGCAGGTAAAGTGTAAGCATTCCATCTTTCCCGAAAAAGAACATTCCATCGTAGTTTCACATAGAAGGAAGTTGACTGCAATGTCATCTCTACTATGTACAACGTCATCAAGCGTCACCACCGCAAGGATTGTTGTTCATCGACCTGACTTTCTACAACTTTCTACAACAACCGTATCTCTCGTATCTGCAATTGAATTAATTATGATAGCCAAGGAGATATAGGACTGCTTTCTTTTCCGTTATCACAATAATTAGTTGTTATGTTGATTTCATTTTCTCGTCGGTGATTCGTTTTATGGCAATATTAAGTGGTGTTTGAATCGGATGATCACTAATACTGCTTGTCTGTATCTGTCAATATTTAAAAAATCCTTTTATCAAATGACATTCAGATAGATATGCAATTACATTAAACCTGAGCACAAATTGAATACGTTTTATCCTATTTCAAATAGGAAAATTCTCGGCAGACCAATAAATATGGCAGTTAATGATGAAGAGAAGTTAGGAACTCAATTAAAAACTCTTAAAAAGTCAATGTAAAAGATCGATAAACAAGAAAACTTACCGGACTAGAAAATGCAAAAAATCACCGAACTAGAAATGCAATAAAACGACGGATTCAGAATCAATAAGTCGAATTCAATAATGGAAAGTTTATTCATAATAGCATTGATTCTCATGATATCAGCATATGCTACAACAAAGGAGAACTGTAAATGGATAACTGGTATTCCATTCAGTTCCAAGAAAATGGAACTATAAAGAAATCACAGAACAAAAACCCAAAGAGCAAGTATATTAGTACGAGTAAAAACGAGATAAGATTCGCTCAGATAGAGGCACCTTGTGGGGAACTTTTCAATTGAGCAATAAATCTGTTGTATCCTTTCAAAGCCAATAATGAAGAAAATCCTTGCGATATCAATGACGAAGAAAATACCGAGCACTGCACTGTACAGTACTGCAATGCATATAGAAAATACCGAGTACTGCACTGTACAGTACTGCAATGCATATAGAAAATACCGAGTACTGCACTGTACAGTACTGCAATGCATATAGAAAATACCGAGTACTGCACTGTACAGTACTGCAATGCATATAGAAAATACCGAATATCGCACTACACAAACCGAAAAATGTCACCGTCTTTATTCTCAACAACACTCAATTACCACCTAGAAAGCAAAAGAAGCCAGAAAACGCTGAAAATCAGAAGAAACTTATATATGGACAATGTTATATTGTCAATAAGTGAAAAAAGCGAAGCAATGGAGAAATATCATGAAGTAAAGTCTATCCTTAAGGGAGCAGCTATAAATATTCTCGAGTTTTTCTCCAACGACGAAAATCTCAATAAAGCAATACCGGAATACGATCAGATTTTAGTAGAGGTACTACAAACTATAACGGAACCGTGGATGACTTTGATGACGATAACTTGTGCCGCATAGACTTTAGATATATTTTTAACATTGATTCAAATCACAATCATATTTAATAGCTTGATATAGAACAGGACGACACACAATTGCTTCATAATTTTTAAAATTTAAAGTCCGCACAATGATACAAAGACATTTGGAGAAAATGAAACAATTATCCATAATAATGGTAGTAATAACGAGGGTAAATGTAGTACGGATAATAATAATAATAACCATATGGAGAATAATATGGGAAGCCTCTACCAGGCTCTGGAAATAAACCCCTAACAAAAGTTCGAAGTACTTGTAATCCTTGGCGAAGCGGAGTTTGCGTTGATTGGTTAGGTCGATTTCTTCTTCGACCACTTTCACCAACATTGAATCCCCTTATTGGATTACCGTTGTTGTTCAATGACTTAAATTTAAAATAATCTTATACTGGGAGGGTTGATGCTTAAATTTAAAATAAGCTTTTACTGGGAGGAATGATGCTTAAATGAACACTAATGGTTAATATATGACACTTTAAGATTTGGAACTAATAAAAGGTATGGAACATACATTGTGGCCTGCCGTATTGTCATTGAAAGAATTATAGTTTAAATGGACCAACTGCGCATCGGTTTCAGTAATTGATAAGATTGTGCTGAAAGTGGAAGAATGCATTAGCAGATATGTAAACATGAGTGATATGATAACAGCAAACATTTTAACTTACATTATCGTTAAAGCAATCAAATATTTGGTGATAACGAATCGTAGCATGATAAGGAATCCAAAATTCCTGCAATATAATCGGCAGTGTTCAAATGGTACTATTACAGTTAAGCTTATAGCTCCGTTATGTTCTAGTTGAGGGTAATATCTTTTGATGTCAGAAAATGAGTTTGTTCAATTGATGGTTCTGATATCATTAATAATCTTGATGGGCTTATTCCTGCCAAAATCACAAGTGACCGCAAGTTATCAGATTAGTTATTAAACGAAAAAGATATTTAGCTCCCAGAAGACTAATAATAGCAATGCTAGCCATTGCCAGCAGGTTAGGAATGGCAAACTTGTATTTATTAATTGGCTGTAAATTGAAAGCTGATTGAGATTTGACAGGTATTAGCAGAATGCTGAAATACGTGATAATCAGATCTATGATACGTGCGGACTTCGACTGTTTTGGATTTTATTCATGAAACAAAATCATTTAAAGAGAAGTCTCATTTGTAACCACTGACAGTTAGCATAAGACAAAGTGTTCATGTAAATTACTCATACTCATGTAAATTTCATAAAAGATTGAGGCGTATGTCAATGTAATGTTGCTGATGGGGGAAGAATATAGTAATTATTGATCCTTTACGCTTTGAAATGAAAAAGAACGGTCCAAAAGTTCGTTTATTTAATTCCCACAAAGCAATGGTTATACTCTGAGAAGAGATAAAAGTCATGTTTATGACCGATATATATTAGAGTTCGGCTTTTTGTTTTCTGAAAAGTTAAATAATGAGTGAATGGCGAACATGGGAACTTTCTAAAATATTTTACTCAAATAATTGTGACGGAGTCCAACTTTTTAGCGTATGTTACGTCTTCTCGATGACGACGCCATCTGATGCAAATGAAGAAATAAAGAGATGGCAGAAAATAATTCCTTAAAAACTAACAATTTCTTTCGAAAACAAGTGCGACAAGGTCACAACTATCGTAAACTTGTTTTTACGTTTACACTTCATCTGCACTTTTTTTGAATTATGACCCTTGATGAAATTTGAATTGGCAAATCACATTATTAGTGAAGATATAACCGTCATGCCCTTCTGAATGCAGCTGTTTTTTGATTTAGGCCTTGTTACTGAGCTGAAGATAGAGCCAAAAAAAAAGCTCCTGGTCAGCCGTATTTGGCATGTTGTGCCAGTAAATTGGATGAACAGTTGGATGAACGATTCATCACTTAATACGTTGGAAATTTAATTGTAATTTTTGTGCAATGAATCACTTATCAAAAAATGATCTAAATAAGATAATATTTAAGGAACAAATTTGTGATGCATATACTTTAATTGTTTTAACGTATTGAACATTTTTCGGTCCAGTTGACATTAGTAATTTTGTTTTCACGACAGCTCAAGAAAATTTATTAATTCTGACTCTATGAAAAATTATGTTGTCGTTGATGGGGAGATGGCTTTTTCAGCTGTTCGGTTTTTTTCAAATTTACGCTGCTTCTGATATGTGACGTTTCAGATTCACCAGTTATAATGTTTGGTTTCTTTGTGTCGCAGATTCTTTCTTGTCCGCGATAATAACTAGAAGTTCTTGAAATTCTTCTTGAATTGTTTTCACTCAACTTGGGTGATTAAACCTCAAACTTGGGTAATTAAACCTTTATTCAGCAATTATAAGCACGCCATCAACATAAACGCGAATGCAACACAGCCACCCGGATCCCCCCACCAAATCCATAATACCCAGCTATCCCGGGGATGAGGTGGAGGCGGGGTTATTGTGAAGAATGATTTCCCACGGTATGGGAATGGTTGTTGTATTTATGTGCATTGATACATTGGCATGGAATATTCTAGAATATACTTATGAACAAAGCTTAATCACATTCAATAAGATTTCAATAAGATAATTAATTATTGGAAATTGAGTATCACTTATTTTCTTCTACTTCTCGCGATTTCAGCGACACTTTGCAATGCTTACCAATTCACTTGAACTCATACTACTTGACTGTATTCTTGATGAGGATTTCATATCAGTGTCATTACTCGTTCGATATTTATTATGATGTCTTCGCATCCTGCCTGCATCATTTCTTCGCGCAATGCATGAGCTTGATTGTTGCGTAGAAGATGTACACAACAGCGATACTAAAATTACTTCCTTTTAAAATTCCTATTCCTAGTTGAGAGGTGCAACAAGCATGCATCCTTGCAAAAAGTGAAGTTAGCAGGATGTCCCAGATGGGCACGATATGTAGTGATAACATTGATATAAACATGGGAATTTTGTTTTGTTAACTAGTAATATTGTGCAAGAACAATACTACATCCCGAATAAATCTATACCGCTGAAAAACGAGGTCAACAGATTAGTTTTCACGACAAACATCAAAGAGGTTTCATGATAGCAACGTGATACACTCAATTCTCTGGGTGATGGACGATTTCGAGCTGACAAGATGGCTCGGATTTCTTTTCTGCTACGATTAACATTTTGACCAAATTGCCGATATGCTATTCTATAATCCTTTAGCCGTGAACTTACTACCACTTTTCAATTTGAGCTTATGAAATGAAATTAACCATAAGCGGCTTAGTTATGGTAATGACCCCTAGTCAAGCTTAGAATTTAAAAATATGAATGCTTCATTTTTTTAAATTAAACCAAGTAAACTACTTATGGACATGATTAATAACTAGGCTGAGTAATCTGGTATAGATATGACGTGATATCCACATTGATCTCGAAATATTCCTGTAATTCTTTCCCAATGGAATTATGTAATTCAGAAAAGAGATATTACTGCATTAAAACCAAGTTGAGATGCTCCTTCGTACTGTATCTCTATTTAAACTGTGTTGTTTCCCGATTTCTGAACAACCATGCCATTTCAATTATCCGACCAGGTATGAATTGTAATAATGAAAAAAGGCAATTTCTGAAAAAAGAATTTTTTCACATATTTTTCTGAGATATTTTCGAAAAATTTTTTTATTCCAAATTTGGATAAAATTAACAAATATTAGAAATGTTACATTTTATTCACAGATCAATTAACAATTAATCAATACGTATTGGTTGACGGAGTAGAATTGACATGGATCATTTTAAGGATGTAAATTGACTTATAAATTTTCATTTCATTTATAAAAAAATATATTATAGGAACGAGAACTACTATCCAAACAGTTAGTGTAACATCCTTCAGACGCTTAAAGAGCTTCAGGTTCCTCCAGGTGCATCCCTCCATTTGTGCAATGGAATGGTTTTGAAACATATAAAACCATATGGTATGTCCTAGTTATTGGTCTGACAAGAAATATATGTTCTTGCCTAGCCTAATAACATCGTAAGTGTTGTCAGTATTATATTGTTTCAAGAAGTTATGTTTGTTATTAGCCAAGAAAACGACATAAAAGAATATTAATTTGCAAAATTCCTAAAACAAAAATATGTTGTTCTTATTTTTGTGTTTTCAGACTTTTACTTTAATCCTTTGTTGTAAAATTACCATAGTAGAAGAATAATAAGTTAAATAATTAGAAATTCGAGAAACCTTCAATTATTTGAGCAGTGAAGTAAAATTATTTTCGCCTAACTTTTATCGAATCATTTAATATACTTGTAAAAGAATACAAACAAAAAACAGCTTGCAATATATGCGCGAAGTATTGAACTGATTACAAAAAGCCAGTGCAGTTCTGCTTTGAAAAATTCGGGAAAGGAGACGAAAATCTAGGTGATAAAGGATTTCTGTTTATTTAAGAATTTCTATTTATGAAGGATTTCTATTTATTAAAGGAGTTCTATTTGTTCTGAAGTTCTAGAAACTGAAACTCTTGATGCTGGGAAACTGAAACTCTCGATGCTGGGAAACTGAAACTCTCGATGCTGGGACTAGAAGGGCTGATTTATGCCTCGTACAGATAACAAATGCAGAATGGTTGCCTAATGCCTTGAACGGGGGATTATACAGAAACAATTAGAGTCATTTACAGTTCATGGCCAATTTGTGTGATTAATGATGTAAAGTTATCACTTTCATTATCAGTCGTGTTTGCAGAATTATCTCACTATCTAACATGTATTTATGACAGATATAAAGTTCGATTTTTGTTTTCTGGGAAGAGGAAAAATAATGGGCGGATAGACGAACATAAAAACTTTCTAAAATCTCGCCGAATATTTTATTAAAATAATTCTTGTGATGAAGTCCAATTGTCCAACGTATTTTACGTCTTCCCGATGATGACGCACATTTGATGCGAAGGAAGAAATAAAGAGATGGAACTAAACAGTTTCTTAAAGACTAACGATTTCCTTCGAAAACAAGTGCGAAAGTCACAATTATGGTAAACTTGTCCTTTCGCTTTCACTTCATCTGCATTTTTTTTAATTATGAATTTTAGTGAAATTTGGAAAGGCTAAACACCATTAGTCAAGATTTAAGCGTAGGAAAGCACTATAAATCACAATCTAACCATCGTGTTACATGTCAATGATATGTCAATTGCGCATATTTACTTCGGCCAAAAATTTATAGTAAGATAATTCCTGCGTGCAATTCAGCATGACATCCCTGATTAGTCTATTCATCAGCAACTTCAGTTCATTCTCACTCCAACTGTATACCAAAAATGATAAGGAGGAACAACAATCGAGAACTCCTGCCACAATATAATTACTTACTTGTATGTCTTATTTCGATGGAAGTTACCGTGGAATAAGATTGTGCAACTTTTTCTCCGCCGATAGTTCGTTCTTTCGTCTCCAATTTCTGTAAAACTTGAAATACCTTTCCTTCTACAGTTATTTATCTGCAAGCATATTGAAAATTGGTTGTGAATTGAATCAGTTTTAATAAGTTGCTACAGAACAAAATCTTCCATAATTTTTGAAAATTTGAAATCTGTTTTAATCACTTCATCACTTCTTTTTTTATGTCATTCTGAAACTTTACCGCACAAAATGACTGATTTAGTTTGCTTTTAAACTTCAGTTATTTTGAATCACTTGAAACCTCGTTTGAACTTTATTTATCTTGAGCCATTTGGAATTATTCGATACAGTACTGGCTGAGACAAGATGGTTATCACTTCTAATATCATGGATGGAGAGTGCTTACTGAAAATGGTTTCTTTGATCACTTGAAATCACTTGATTACAATTTACTACTTCCTATAGTGAATGAAATCAGTTCAAGGCTATCACTATCTAGTTTTATAGGTCTTACTGCTCATCATAGAGACGTGTCACTAAGGGTAAGATTTACAGTAAGTTATTTAATTACCTTTCATTTACTTTTTTCAGTGTAGAAATGAGGGGAAACCCTCACTTTCTCTGTATCATGATTAAAAGGCGATAGAAATCCTCAGCTAAAGTATTTTTTTTAAAAAAAAGCTATTCACTGAAGAATTTCTCGGTCATTTCAAGTTGCAGGAACTAATCCTTGAGTGGACATATATTTATGCTACAAATGTTCATGATTTCTATTATGTCGCATTTTCTACTGGACACAAGTAATTATGGAAAAGTGGTGACAGTATCAAAAATGGAAAAAGTTTATGCCTTTAACGATATAGCAAGGAGCAATGGTAGGGAACAATAAGGTAATATGACTGGAATTCAACTCGCATTTCAGGAAATGTTGTCTAGTTTTCATTTTTAAAGTATTTTTATTTAGGTTTATGTATCATCTCTTTCCTGTAAAATGATGCTTCATGCTTTCTGATTGGTTACTTGTAGTGGATCCTCAAGTCTTTTACAACGATTCTTTCAGGAAATTAGCTGAATTGAATTCTAGTAATCATTTGCATATAAGCATAGCAAATAGAACAAAGTTGTTTGCTCAAGCTTTCTGACAAAAACTGCAGTGAATTTTGGGTAAAATGAATTTAAGTTATAACCAGATTTCGGACGAATTTTTTTTAAGAGCGAAATTTATGTGATATAGACAAGAAGTAAAAAAGCAAGCAAAAATGTTTTAACGAAATTAACAACATATTAATTAAAATGACCGAATTATTTTGTCAGACAAGTTTTCCGATAATAATGCGTAACTACACGTTGCTTAAAAGCTTTGCGGAGCAATATAAGATCGAATTTCTTTTTAAAAGATTCAAAATTTAGGCTGTTTACCAGTTATGCGTATATTGCATATATCATATATTTATAATTGATCTGGAAAGATTTTCCCACAACCTTTCTACTTTGATTTATAAATGCATTATTAATTTCATTTCTTATTTTAATGTTAATTGTGTAATGATTACTTAGTTTTTTCTATTTTCAACTCATATTAATGTATCTACCGATTTTACCTTGAGTTTTATTAATTTTAACGGTAAGGTAAAAGCATATCTTTCCTTTTTTCTAGTTACTTATAAAAGTAGCTCAGCTAAGGTCATTGATCATTTCCCAAAGATGATTCGTACTGTGCAAATAGAAAAAAAAATAACGCTTCAACAACTATTTCCTTAGTTTATATCGATGAGAAGACGTACCCTATGATGAAGTCCAAAGATCTATTTATAGCTACATCAATGTAACACTTTGACAATGAACCTGCATGAAGTAAACCGAAATCTCTCGTTCAGTTATTCATAAAAGTGTAATCATTGGTTTGTGGGGGAACTGTTGCGAAAAATTTAGCTTTCTTCTTTCGTAACAAATAAAACTAGACCCTTGCTTCCTTTGTTGCAAGAAAGCTAGTTTCCTACGTTTAGTTGAGAGAAACTGTATTGTTGAGATTGAATTGTAAATGGATTGGTGAGGATCTGCAGATCCTTTTGATGTAGCTGAATACCAGTGATACAAATAGTATATATTAACTATGTAGAATTAGAGCGAATGGGACGCAATCACTATTTCAATCTCGAGGAAAAGATTGAAATGAATTATTGGAGGATGAAATAGAAACAGAACCAAATACAGATTCCTTTGAAGGGATGGATGCCTACCTTTAGTTGCAGTGAGTGGTTCTATATATCCTTGTTAATTTATATTGAGAGCAATTGGCCATGGATAACAAAACCAGTACAATGCATAAAAAAATCTCAGACAAAATGCAATGCTAAACGTATTATGAATTTTTTCCGGTTTTTTGCATTAACAATTTCATTTTCATGATGTACGGTAGGAAATAGTATGACTTGATTGAAAATCGCTGCGTAATATCGTCGAATGTTAACCTCGTTGAAAGGAGCATATCTTTTAAAAGTTATTATTTCACCTTTGTCGGTGTGATGAAAACGCATGAAGAATGATGGTGGAGTTGTATATGCAATGAAATTAGTTATTAATAAAACGAGTTGTGCCTGATTAGATCGAGCCGGCATTATTCGAAAAAAAAATGCTTTCATATATAAAAATGTTGAGAGCAGGATCTGGATGTAGCCGACTACCGAAATTAAAGCTGTGTTCAAATAAAATTTCCACAATATCTAACAGTCAGGGTAACGAAATCTTGTACAATGAAAGCAATGAAAAGGATATAAGCTAACAATGGACAGCATAAGACAAAGACATCTCAGTATCTACACCATGGACAATGATATCATTGTACCTGCACAATTTGTAACATATTTGTAGGTTATTCATGACATTGTTACAATTTGTTTGATTGATTTATACATTGGTTTATTTAGTCATTTTATTTCATTTGGAGCTTCACGATATTCGAAATTCGCGACAGTAGGAGTAACATTCTATCTAAAAAAAAAAAAGAAAAAATGAGGTGCGCATCCATCTCTCTAAGGGAATCTCCACTTTTCATTTAAACCATTTGACCCTGTTTCTTTTTTTCCTCCAATAATTCATTTAAATCTTTTCCTCGGGACTGAAGTAGTGGTTGTGTCCCGTTCGCGCTACTTTCTATTTAGTTAACAAATACTATCTGTATTCCTGGTATTCAGCTACATCGAAAAGATCAGCAGATCCTCACCAATCCATTGATGATTCAATCTCAATAAAGCAGTTTCTCTTAACTAAACATGGGAAACTAGCTTTCTTTCAAAAAAGGAAACGAGGAATTCGAGTTCTATTTGTTACGAAAGAAGAAAACCAAGTTTTCTGCAACAACTTTCCTACAAACCAATGATTACACTTTCATGAATAAACTAAACGAGAGATTTCGGTACACTTTATGCAGGTTCATTGTTATAACGTGTTACATCGATGTAGCGGTCGTTTTCCTCCAAACCTAAGGTCCGAATCGGCTACTAATAAATAGGTCCTTGGGCTTCATCATATGCGTGCGTCTTCTCATCGATATAAACTGAGGAAATAAATACTTGTTGAAACGAAAAACAAGAAAAAAAAGAGAAATAAGAATGTATTCAGAAGTTTTTTTTCTTTTTGCACATAAAAATCATTTCTGAAAGAGATCTATTATTTGCTTGACATTACCATTGACCTATCAAACTTCCTTTCTACGCTTTTGCAAAATTTAACATTTATTTTGTTGGTAGAAATGTAAAATATTTTAGATTAGTATGAATTGAAAAGTGAAACGGTGCAAACAATTTTAGTGATTTCTTTGCAGGATTTTTTCCGAAATTTTTTGCAAAATAGCTTAAATGAAGTTTTGATAGCTAACCCACAGCTTCTTTTCATCAGCTCCTTCGCTCAATTTTTAAATGTCAATGATATGCTTTCGTAACGCAAAATGATAAATGAGATTTGTGATCCATGATATCCAATCATAATGGATGTGATCATACTGAATTTCTAATAAATTTCTATTTTTCCCAAAAATTTCTTCCAAAATAATGCACTTCAAGCATTAGCGCTGCTTAAATTGCTACATAATCTTTAATTTCTGGATTTGAAAATAAAAGTGCTGATAACATCAGGATTGAGAATTGGTTCAGCTTCAGAAGCATGACTTAATTTGTGTGTAAGTTCTCAATTTTTATTCCTTGCTATTTCGACTCCTAGACAAATAATGCTGTTCGAATTTGACCTTAAAACACAACAGAACTCTCATTTTTCGAATAAGTGAGTAATTGCGTCTTTGAAGATTTTTATTTACTCTGAAATTCAAAAAAC